CACACACACACACACACACACACACACACACACACACACACACACACCTGGCTGTAGACGTCTTTGAGGTAGGAGGCGTGCAGCAGCTCAGGAGTATCTGTGACCGTCCCGTAGGAGTTTTCCCTGAGCTGATCCGTCTGCTTGTAGGACCTCTGTGACACACCATTTTAATGTTTACTCAAACAACACATATGCATGTGGAAAATGAATCTGCTATTGAGGAATAACATCATTTTAATAAAGTCAGCACCTGGCTCTGGATCTCGGAGGCTCTCTTGGCTCGTTGCATGTCGAGGATGTTGGCGCTCAGCTCCATGCCTTTACCCACGATGTCCGTCTCTAGGTCCCTACGGTACTCCTTCTGCAGAACCATCAACACGTCTTCACTTGTTATCACTTGTGAAAGTGTGTGTGTGTGTGTGTGTGTTTTGTGTGTGTGTGTGTGTGTGTGTGTGTGTGTGCGTTACCTCACTCAGCAGGCTGCTAGCGTGGCAGGCTGTGAGGTATGCAGGAGTCTGGTCTGCGTCCACCAAGGCTTGACCTTTAATGTGCTCCTCATAGTCCCTCCGGTACTCTCTCTGAGGGAGAGAGAGAGAGAGAGAGAGAGAGGGAGAGAGAGAGAGAGACACACAGCAGAGAGAGAGACAGAGAGAGAGAGAGAGACAGAGACAGAGAGAGAGACAGAGACAGAGAGAGAGCGAGAGACAGAGACAGAGAGAGAGAGAGAGAGAGAGAGAGAGAGAGAGAGAGAATAAAGAATAAAACCTGATATCTAATCATCTCACAGACAACCTGTTACTTCTCTGGGTCTTAATTATTGTCCATATTTAGTGTTTTTGTATTTTGGGATTTAGATTTGTGTGTTTTTGTGTTTTAGCTACAGTCTTGTGTCGTATGTATGACTCATCTGGTCTCTCCAGTTAAAAATGACCAAAGATAGACATGAAGCTGCATGAAGCTGAAGACGTTGAGTGTGAAGATGAAGATGAAGATGAAGATCACCTCGCTCTGCATCCTCTGAGCTTCTTTAGTCACTTTGTACGTCTGAGTGTCTCCAAACTCCATCTGAGAGCGACCTCTGCTTCTCTCGTACTCCTCTCTGTACTTCACCTGGAGACACACAGATTTAAATTCACTGATGAACACAGGGAGGAAGAGGAGGAGGGAGAGGGGGAAGAGGAACAGGAGGAGCAGGAGGAGGAGTCAGTATGAAGAGTAACCTGGCTGTGCAGCACTGCGTTCTCCTTGTGGTGGAGCTGTTCAGCTGTGTCCACAGCTGTGTGGTACTGAGCCTTCATCTCTTTGTACTTCTTCTTATACTCCACCTGAACACACACACACACACACACACACATTTATATCTGTCCTTCCACACTTGTGAGGACCATGTCAGCAGCGGAACGACGATGTCGTACGTTGCTCTGCAGCTTGGTGGCGTGCAGGACGTGCTCTAGCTGCAGCAGGTTGGGCAGGTCTGAGGAGTCAGGCTTCTGGTTCTGGTTCTTGTACTTCACCTGGAGGACACAACAAGACCTGATCAGATGAATAGATACTAGTTAAAGCCACAGTTTACACACAGTACTCCTCAGTATGAGACCACACGTGTGCTAAGAATCCCAGGGTTCTGACAGGAGATGTTGCTGCTCCTCATCTTTCCTGGAAGAAGCTCCAGAGGTGAACAGTGAGCTCCTCCTCTGCTTCACAACACTTTAGGTGCCAGAATGCGTTTCCACATGGAAACCGTCTTCACTGGATAAAAGAAGCTGCTGAGAGTCTCTCTGCTGCTGCACCAGCTCAACACAACGAGCCGTTACGCAACGCTGTGAAGTGAACGGCTGAGTGGGCAACGAGCCCACTGAGCCTGAACCATGGAGGCGTGTGCGTGTGTGAGTGTGTGTGTGTGTGTGTGTGTGCATCCTCTTCAACTTCTCCAGCTCTCGTCCTACAATCTCTCTTCATTTGCCTTCCAAAAAGGTTGCCATGGTTACACCCACACAACAGGATGAATTTATAGTGTGAGTCAAAGTGAATGAGACACACACACACACACACACAGACTCTCACACACACACACACACACACACTGAGACACACACTCACACATCTACACACACACACACACACACACACAGACTCACACACACACATACACACACACAGAGACACACACTCACACATCTACACACACACACACACACACACACAGACTCACACACACACACAGATTCACACACACACTGTTCATCGGGACGGTTGATGAAGAGGAGCGTGTTGAGGTGAACCGGAGGAAACTAATCTGATTCTTCTGATGAGTTCAGGTTAACTATGACATCATGTTTACATAAAGACATGATGTCATAGTTCTAAACAACAACAGACCCAATCTGTATTTTGTGATATTCAGATTCATTTGAGGAAGTCTGGAGAGCAAACTGAACCGTGTCTCTGTCACCTGAAATATAAACACACTACGATTCCACGTAATGGTGAACACGGCGGTATGAAGACGGATAAATCCGTCACAGGGAGGACATGTGTCACCCGGCAGACCGCTGTTCGATCCCCGTGTGACACGAGGAGTCGACGCTGATGAGTCACGTAACTTCAGTAACGACTCTTCTCCAGTTATTGTGAACCCACACGGCCGTCTTTACTTAAACATAACTACGGTTTCCTGTGAAGATGGAAGTTTATTTTGAATAATGTTTATTTTTCCAACATTGGGAACATGTTGAATATTTAGATTCCATTGTTTTCCATATTTTGTATAATAAATCAAACTTGTTCTTCTTCTTTCTTAATGATTGATAACATCATAACTGTTATTCTGCACTAAAGACACGTTCTAGCTCTCTCTGCTTCTAGTCATCATGGTTGTGTTTCTAGAGGAGCAGGACTTTTATTTTGTAGTGAAGAAATTTTTTTCACAGTTTTACTCTGAAATGTCTTTCTCTCATATATATATATATATATATATATATATATAGATAGATATAGATATAGATATACACCCACCTGACTGGCCAGAGCAGCAGCAGCTTGTGTGTGTCTGAAGGAGAGACAGTCCAGCGGGTTGTAACGAGGCCTCTGGCCCTTTAAATCTCTGTCGAAGCTCTCCTTGTACTTCACCTGTAGACGTGAAAACAGGCTGAGTGACTGCCCCCCCCCCCCGCCCAATGCATGCTGGATAGACTGCGTGCGTGTGTGTGTGTGTGTGTGTGTGTGTGTGTGTGTGTGTGTGTGTGT